TTAGAAATAAAATCTATCTCATAATAGTTAAATGTAGTTAATTATAATTTTTCATATAAAGTATTAAATGCATTAGTTAATTTCTGAGTTAATTGTGAAACAACATTTTTAATTGAGTATTTGTATTCAATAAAACCAATTGCAGATTTCAAATAATCATTTATTTATTACAAGGTGGAATTTTTTACTACTTCCTCTCTTATTAAATATTTTAATTAAATTCCACTTATTAATTAAGAAAATGATTAATTCATAATCTCCACAAAAGTTTTAAGATCACTAATAAAATTTTAACATTCTGTATTTTTATCTTTAATGAATCCAACCAAGCTGTTGATTCTTTAAACATCATTAAAATGATCTTGATGGATTCTTTCCTCACATTTAGAGCAATTCAATCTGAAGTCTGTGCACTACTAGTTATAACAAATGGTTTCGATCTACTCATTATGATCATCTTATTAACATTTTTTCAGCTAATACCCTGACTATCCCATATTTATTTTAAATATTATTTCTAGATTTATTTTACTTTTTGATTCTTTTGTGACTAATAACAAATATTGAACTTCAAATACAATTTAAGCTATTTGTTATCAGACATCGCAAAGACACTGCTATAAATTTATTTTTCTGCTAATAATAATAATAGTATTAAAATTAGTGGTGATAAGAAAATTGTTTTTAAAATTAAAAACTGATTAAGAATGCTTTGCATAAATCATAAAAACTTGCAATCGATCTACATCAATTAAGCAAATGAAGTATGGTGATAATTTAAACAATCATTTTTATATATAATGAGAAGTTAATGTACTAATAATTGTAGTTTAATTAGAATTAAATTAAAATATAAAAGGAAATTGATTTAATAATTTAAAGTTCAATATAAGCTTATAGTCGAATAAATAATTTACAATATTAATTTATGTATTAAAATTGAATCCACTTCCTCCATCAGAAGATGATTTTTGTTACTATTTCTAATTTTTAACTACTTATGAAGTGTAAAGGTTCGTTAAGGATTAGAAACGACATATATAATATTTTCTAATTTCATGATGAAACTGAGCCTGAATTTGAATAAAATGAGTTCATTTTATTATAATAATAGCTCTATTTATGAAATAGCCAAAATTACTGTCCAAAAGAAAAGGCTTGATATATTCAAGTATGTCACCTTTTTTATAACATGTGTTTAAATTCTATATCTATAACAAGCTGAGTTCCTTATTTCAATATTTTGAATTCTTAGGATCAGAACAAATCTGTGATTAAAGTGAAAAAATGGGTAAAATTCAAAAGTCTTCTTACAATTAATAAATATAAGTATTTGCATCAATTCAAAAGAAGCGTTAAATTAGAGTTGAATAAAAATACTCAAATTCAAACAAATTAATTTTGCATAGTAACTTTTTTAGATCAATTTCCAAATTTTAAGTCAGTTTATATAAGTAGTTATCACAATTTGAGGAATAAAATAAAAAAAAAAGTAATTGCCTTGGGAAATAATTAAGTTGAAGGGAATGTTATCTTAAACGTATAAATAATTATTTTGTAATTTTCTATTCACTTATTGCATAAATGACTATGTATCTTTTTTGTTTGATTAGGTATTTCCTAAAAACATAAATTCGATATTTTTATTCACAAAATTCCCACAATATCGATAAAGATTTAAGTTTAAAAATAAAAAATTTTAAATTAATAAATGGCATTTTTTAATCCTCACCTTTTATTGTTAAAATGGATTAACCTAAATGAAATTTGTTAATAAATAATATATGCTAAATAACGAGGATCATAAAAATTTATTCTGATCTAAGATCTTTATTCAAATTCTTTCTTCTCTATGAGATTGTCTAATTTATGACATCTATTTTAAATATATAAAGTGTAATCTTGATAAATTCTTTGAAGTTAAGGAAGAACTTCTGAAAGTTAATTAAGTCGAAATTACTCAAAAAAATAAATCCTCCAAAATAATTATCCAACTTAGAATGTTATGAGCTCAAAAATATATGAATAGATTAATCTATTCTCTAAAAATTTTTAAGGCATATTGAAAACGTTGAAGAATAATTACAGCTTAGAGATTCAGCAAATTTTAGCTAAATTTTTGTATCAATATTTGCGATATTAATTATTGAGATTCCTGTACTATTTACAAAATAAAATTTAAGTTTCACTTTAGAGGATGTTCAAATTATGATTAATCAATAAATGAGGTACTTTCATCTAAATTTAAAGTATTCGATACAAAATAAACTAAAAGAGGAAAAGTCAAAAAGTAAGTCCTATTTTAGAAAAACAAATTGGATGCTAAATATATGAAAAATGATTTTTAATTTATAAATAAGGAAAATTAGGTTAGGTATAATTTTGAATAAAATGAGCTAAACATTTGATGCTGGGGGCATTATTCATAGTAAGCCCTAAAATAAGGGTAACAAGAAGGATGAAGCATAAGAATATATGAAATGAAATTTTTTGATGGTCAAAAACTTCTTAGGTTGTGCAATCAATCAGAATTCTAAATTCATCATTTTAATGTGTTCAAATATCAAATTTAATCTTATTGTTGTTAGCTACAAACTATTTCCAGATTAAAGGCCTATTTATACAATTAAGAAATTTAGCATTAGTAGAGAACTTACTGTTGATTGAGGGGATGCTTTGGCTTTGGTAACTCATTAAATAGTATTATGAATTAAATAATTTCTAATATAGTGAGAGTAGAAAGGCTAAATCTAATTGATTTAAGAGGATTAGTTGATGTTTATGGAGCATATTAACAGAAAAAGAAAATTCCTATAGTAAGAAAGTTTTAGAAGAAATATTGACTATAGTAATGCAACAATCAAAATATCTAAAGTAACATTGAATAGACTCCTTAGCTAATTTTATTTAAAAAAAACGCTTCAAACATCAATTTTTATTATGATATATCTAGTCTTCATCCTTTTTGTATGAAAAATTCTATTAACAAAGACAGACCTGCTTTACAATTTCAAAACTAAACTCTTGAAGAATCCTTCCAAATTATCCTGTAGATTTGTATTTTTAAGCCCTCATAATCAAAAGGAGACTGTATGGTAACCATTTGTAAGGAAATCTTCAAAAATAGGTAACCATAACATCGTTATACTATCGAATATATATAAAAGTTAAAATTATAATGATTTATATATTCAGATACTTATAAATCAGATCAATTAAATAATGATATTTAACGAATGATTGTAATTGCTCAAAAAATCAATATTTTTGAAAACAAGCAGCAAAAGAGAAAAATGAGACACAGAATTAAGGGAACACTGAAATTATTCATAATTTTTGCAAAAAATATTCAATATTCTCACAAATATCTTTAGGAATTCTTTGAATCTCTTATTGTTTTCCAAAATTAACCTTCCTATTAATTTAATTAATGTATGTAGAGCTATGCTAGTTGACTTTGAAATTCCGTTTTCAAGTTTTTAGCCTTTTATGATTAAAAAATTATCAATAGTGGAATTAGAATAATAGTAATATTAAAAAGCTTAAAAATAGTGCAAAATAACTACCATCATCAGAAGAGAAACAAACTGAATAAACTGAACCTGAAAGACCATTTAATTTCATTTTTATTCCCCTGTTCATAACATCAAATAAACAGATAAGTTATTTTTACAATAAATAATGTTGTATTTTATAAAAATTTTAACTATTCAATTACTCTTGTTTTTAAGCAACCTTATAAGATGTAATTTAATAAAATACTTTGGTAATGTATTTTCTTTTTTCCATCAACTAATACTAAATAAAGATCTTGTCAATCATCTAATATAGCGGCTTAATAAATATGGTCATGATGATTTCAAGATGATAAATTATTAAATAATAATCAGGCTATGATATGTAACGATTAGAATAAGATTTTCATTGTATTATTTATGAAAAAATTAGGAAAAATAATTTCAACAATTATCCTTTTAAGTACTTTGACATTAGCTCGCGAGTTGGTTTATTTAGGAAATTAATGCACTTGTGAATAATTGACATCACAACGTGACTGTTCTTATTTTAAGAAGTGCTAATTTATCAATTAAATTTGTTCTTTAAAACCTTGTGATTAGATGAATTTTGAGGCTTGTTAAAGTAGTGATTGTGCATGGAATTAAGGAAAATGTTCTAAGTTTACAAATTGTTAAGATTATGAAGTATCCGATGCTGATGATTGCTTTAACCTAAACCATTATTGTTAATATAATATTTAAACAAAATCCTGCTAAACCAAAGATCCCATAAACTAATCATGTTCGGAATAGAGCTAAGCCAATTGTTACTAAGGAATAGATGGTAAGTGTATTTACAAAGACAACAAATGTTAACTTTGGACAGATTGTAAAGATGGAGAATTAGAATATTGTATGATAGGAAATTTACATTGTATATGGGATTTAGAACAAGATAAATGTGTATCAGCCACATCATGCTAAGATCTAGATGATATGCCATGCATTTTTGCTTTCCCGAATATGAATACTATGGATGCTTATATATGTCAATATGATAAGAATGGAAATTGTTAAGACTTTAATCCTTCCAATTCTAATTAGGAATCCTGTATAGCCCAATCCTATGGGTATTATTAATGGATTAATGGAAAGTGCACGGCATGTTAATCAATTAATTTTGATTTAATTTAATCAGTGGTAGTGTTAACATATCTAATTTTGAGTTGATCAAATAAATAAAATATAAAATAATTTTACATCAATTTATTCTTGTATCTATCTAAACTTAAGATTTTATTATATCAAATGTGAGGAGATGTTAATTTTTTATCATTCCTTAAATATTTAAATTCTAAATAATTTATAATAAATAAGGCTATTTGCATAATCAAAAGCAGCCTTTTAATAAAAATTAAATAATTAAGGAAAATAAATGAATATTCTTAAAATAATCCAAAACTTTACAATGTTATAGAAGTCTTAAAAATTAAAGAGTGTTCAAATATAAGGTTGAGATTATAATTTACCAAATAATATTCATTTCGAATCTGATCGTTTATACTAAAGTAGGGATGTCGGATGCTAGTTATTCATGTTTAGAAATGCAAGTTTAAATAAAATAAGATTAATAGTAAAAACTTTAAAATATTAAACAGAATAATGAAATTTCATTAAGTTCATTAAACAATAAAGTTTGGTAAATATGATATTTAAAATTAAAATCTGAACTTCTTTTGAGCAAATGCAATAGTTCCATGATCCTCCTCATATATTGCTCGCTAAGCACGCGGGAATCTAAGCTTAAGCTCTTCGGGCGATGTCTTATCTTTACGATCCCCTTGACCCATCTTTTTCCTATACATCTGACCATATCTTCTGCCATGATATTATTTAAAAAAATATTGGAATCTAAAATTAAAAAATATTCAGGGGAAGTATGTTATCGCTTGCACGTGTTAGCTATATTGAAGCAAAGATAGTTTAATTTACTAGTCTGTAGATATTTGATCATGTTAATTTCCGGTTATAATGTACACACCCTTCCTTTGCTTGGAGAACTTTTTTGTACATAACGCTGCAAGCTTTTGAACCATATGTTCTCAGTCTTGTCCTATAATGTGGCTGTCC